ATATATATATGTGTGTGTGTGTGTGTGTGTGTGTGTGTGTGTGTGTGTGTGTGTGTTATTGTAGATTTTTGTCATTTTGATTTTGCGTACCGTGAATCTCTGGTTGCAATAGAAACAAAACAATCACACACACAGGTGTCTTCCTGGCAACCCTCCTTGCTCCACTCCTTCCTCAGTTTAACCCACTTGTTTACTTGTTTCCTTTGCCCTCATTTATTTATGTATTTATTTATTGTCACCGCGCCTTTGCTTTGCGCCACAGCTCATTTCTTTTTTTTTTTTGTATTTTTGTACTCCAACACTTTTTGTTCTGATGACTCCTTTACTTATTTTCTCTCTACTCCTGAGTTGCCTTTGTGTTTGTGTGCGCTTCTTTTTATTTTGCTCAGTTTTAAATTTACAGTGTTCTGTGTCTTCTTTAGGGTCCAAACGGTCGCAAATCTTTACACGAAAGGGCAAAATTTTTTCGGGGCTTCCTTCCTGTCCGTTCTTCTTTAATAAGACAAGAAGGATGCCAATTATGAGCCTTTTGTTGTGGGCCCAACTCCCAGGCCTGCCTTTTAAATTGGATGCTTGAGCTGTCAGTGAGTATCGAATGCAGACCCAGTCGTGCACATCCGTGTGTTTCAGAGAAAGGGGGTGGAAGCAAGATGCTTTTGCAGACAGATAGCTTCCTGCTTTCATTTGGGAGCCCTCGAGCAAAATGTTGATTCATCATCAATTTCCACTTTCAGGGGCTTTAAGGGCAATGTGTATTGTTACAAGAAGGGAGCAGCAGGTAATAAATACTTGTGCTAATGGCATCAGGCAGACATGGACAAAGCAGAGAGGAAGGCAGATTCTCATTTATCCAAATACAAGAGATTTATTGGTGATTACAAGGAATACATCTTTGAATGTGTTGGATAACCTGTTTGTCTATATGTGGAACTAACTCATTACAATTTGGAAAAACATAATTAAGAATTTATAAAAGTGAAGGTTTGTAAGATGAAACAATGTGGATAAATTCAAGGTAAATACTTGTATCACACTGCCTTGTATTTCACCAAAGATTTGCCTTTATTTTTTGCCAAGACTTCAGACCCGATTGAAAGTGGTCTTTTTATACTCGACATCATAAAAGACATGTTTCACTTACGACTTGAGCGAGCCGGCTTACCACTACTGGTTCTCATACCGCACTTTGAGAACCACTGATGTAAACTTATGGCAAGGCGTATTTCACAATACAAGTTTTTTATGAATGGCTCACAGTGATTAATTCACTCACAATTTGTACATACATCCATGTTCTAGCTGGACATAACTGCTATATGGAACCCCCACATCTCTCGTATGACCAGAACACAGCAAATATTGAGGCAGCGGTCCATATGCTCCTGGACTGCATAAGCAGTGAAATGGGCGGCACACCACGTCATCCGTCTGCCATGATGCAGTTTGAGTTTCAAAAGTAAGCAACTATTACAACGAGGAAGTTTGGTTTTGCCCCCCCCCCCACACACACACACACATACATATCCATGATTATACTGCTGAAAGCAACACACCACTGAAAATTCATTGTCTTTCATTTCATTAGGCAGCGTGTACAAACATTAATTGTGCAACTATCAATAGCATTTGGGGCTCAGAGAAAAAAATAATAATATATATATATATATATATGTATACATAATACATATATATATATATATATATATATATGTGTGTGTATTATGCGAATTCAACAAAATGTCAGTATAATAAGCTTCTGAATGTTTTTTTTTTAAATAGTTTTGTTATAATACTCACCATTAATGTGAATGGTTTTCCGTTCCTCACCATTGCTCAAGATCCAGCAAATGTCATGATTCGGTTTGGGACCAACAGGTGGCACTGTAGGGCTCCCCTGCAGCTGCACACCTGTTGGTCATTAGGTAATTAGTGGCTTTAAAAGGACTCCCAGCCCGAGCAATCATTGTCGGGTGATTGTTGCTTTGTGCTACTGTCATGTTTGTTTCAGTCATGTTTTGGTCAGTGTTATGTTTTATCTTCAGTCAGTGTTTCGTTTGATACTTTGAACTTTGTTTGTTTTGGATTTCATTTTCTGAGTTTTAATACAATCTTTCAAGTACACCCTGCTCCTCCCTCCTGCCTGCCTTTTTGGGGTCCACCACCTCGCTACGTGACAGCAAAGATAGCGGAATTATAGTCAGCTTACCGGGTCCATATGCGGAGTTGCTGCAGGCGAGCTTGCACCCTGCTCAGTAGCTTGCACGCTTCCTTTCTGGAGTCTCCCGCAGCGTATTTTGATGCGAACGTAGCATGCCGCGTGTCAAAGTGCCGCTTTACATTCGACCGTTTCATCCATGGTATTTTGTTATTGCAAATTAGACACATTGCAGAACCCATTCTTTCCACAAAGCCGAATCCTTCGGTCCATTCGTCCTGAAGTGTACCATAATCGTCAGCTTTTTTAATTTTCGTCATCTTATTCATCGAAGGATTAGCTTTGAGCTAATGACCGAGTGGGTGTTTACCTGTTTCTACAGCAACGGCCTCCATAGGCCAGTATCATCCAATTAAAATTGCTCCTGCGAAGGCAGCCCTGAAGAGGACATGAGCAGTGAAGAATCAATGCATGGATTAAACAAGCGAGAATATTTCGTTTTATCTGCAAGCCAGATGCAATCATCAAAAGAGCCACACCTGGCTCGCGAGCCATCGGTTCCCGACCCCTGGTTTAAGCCAATTAAGTGTCAAAATGACATCCAGCACAGCGACATCTTGAACAGTTTTCAGCACTTCACGTAATCACTGTGACGTAACGTGTGCTATAACATGACACTACACTGTTCCTTGTTGACGTGTTTCTTGGTCTATTGAGTAAATAAATAAATAGATGCCGTAGTCAAGTATTGCCATCATTTCGAAAGCACTCCCGACAAGCTCAGGTTTCATTTGTTCCTCCTTTGAGAGAGAGAGAGAGAAAAAAAGAAAAGACATTCACAGCGGCACTGGCTGGCAAACGCAGCCAGCCAGTGTGAGCCTCCAAAATAGGCCCATGAAAAGCTCACGTCCAAAAACCATGATCGATCCTCATCAAAATGTATGTGCACATTTCTATGCAAGCCCAAAACGTACTCTGAAAATATTAGAATGAAAGTCACAATTTATTTATTTTTTTTTTTATTGATGTTGTAAGCTTTGCTTCGTCAGCTGGGAAAGAAAACATGAGGTCACTTTATGTACAAAAAAACAAAGTCCAATGGTCAGCCAAATTTATGTGCACGTTTACAAATGCCCACTTCATGTTCCGAAAATATTACAACGATCACCCCAATATTTTGTTTTTCACAAGTGTCGAAGGTTGTTGCCAATGAAGAGGCAACGTTGGGAGCCAAATTCCATCCATAAACTCAAAAATATTGGGACTTTGGACATACATATGTAAATTTGGGTGAGGATCAAATACGGTTTTTGGACGTAGAGCTTTGCATAGACCTATTTTGGAGGCTCGTCGGCTTCTTTAGGCATAAAAGGAGTGTAATCTAAATTGTGGGAATACTCAACAACA